CCCAAAAAAAAACACCCAACAACAACTTCTCAGCCACAGTTTTCATCATCTCTAAGTACTGGTAGTGCTGCCTCAGGCTGTTAAGAGTTCGAACAGAACAATATTTGAAGGACCATGCCTTTCTTAGACAAACCACCATTTTCTCAAACCCTCATCTGCAATGTGAAAATAATAATTCTTGTCAGCCTCAAAGTGGTGTTATATGTATTGTTGGAATAATAAATGCAAAGTGCTTTGATAACTCAGAAGCATTAAGTAGCTTAGTTCCTAAATTGCATGCGTAATCACTATTCGCACAGAAGTTGCTTTAAACTCACCACGTAATGTCTTCATGTGCTGAACGGCCATTCTCAGTACCGTAAGTTTATCGAGTTTCCTGGACATAGCATTACAGGTTGGCACTAAAGAGGCCAATTCATCAATAAAACTGTTCATTTTATCACGGCGTCTTTTTTCAATCTGACTGTGAGCTTCCCTAAGTAATAAATAAAGTAAGTGGTCAGTTTATTTGAATTGGTTTCATGATGAATACTTTAGTGAGATCTAAAACTAATTCAAAAGGATGACAAGAGCTCCAGGGCAATTTGACTCCAGTCTTTCTCACTTAAAGGTAACTGCTGGCTTCTACTCAAAAGGTTGCATTACCCTTCTCATTCTCTCATCCACTGCAACTTAATTTGTCCTTTGGGGAGCCCTGGAAACCTTCTGAACAGCATGGGGTGCTGTGTAGAGAAGCAAATAACTACCAAGTATCAGGCATCAACCTTGCACATTGCAGGTCCTGCTGGCACAAGTTGCTTACACCACCATTTTAGTGATTCCCCTTCGCACTGCATTCTTTTATCCCATACCACATGTTGAATGCCTGCTCAGCCATGGAAACCCACTAGATGACCTTGGACAAATCATACTCTCTCATCCTTAGAAGAAGGCAATGGCAACCTTCCCCTTAAATGAATCTTGCCAAGGAAATCCTAAGAGAGGGTCACTGTAAGCTAAAACTGATTTGAAAGCATATAACAAGAATTTAAAACTATGTTAATGCAGACTCTGTACCTTTTCCAGCATGTAAGTGCCATTTAATGCACAATATCCCAGAATGTTTTATATGGAAACAACACTGAATTTAGCAGAGAATCAAATCCTATGCTGTACTTTCACAAACTACAAAGATGAATTATTGGGACTATGAGACCACTAGATGAATGTTAGATTGTAGATGGGCAAACAGTGATTCCAAAAATACAGGATGAACCTGAGCCAGCTGCCTATTACCAATTCGTTTCATGCTTCCTTAATCTGTTATCACAATCATATAGTAGGCTAAAATTCCTAAATGTTCATAAAGCAACTACTATTATAGAATTAATAGCACATATTTAACTACTTACATAAGCTACTTTAAAATATTTGTGTATACTTTATAACTGATTCAAATTCAATCTTTTTTTTTTTTTTTTAGTTTCTATTTTTATTTTCATCACCAATCTACCCACTTAAGAGAATGCAAGTTACCAAGTCTGTAAAACACTTTGGCAGTGTCAGCTATAAGAAATCAATGCAGTTTGTTCCAGCAAAGAGTTTAAGGCAATAATTTTGTAATATCTGGATCAATCAAGGACATGTCTTTTAGGTACAACCAGGAGTTACAATACTGTTTTAAAATACAATTATTTACTGATCTTCATTCTGGGAACACTTCCAAATTACATCATTAAGTCCAAACTCAGTTAAAAAACAAAGACTGCAAATATTTTACCTTGCATTTTTTATTCTGCCTTGTTGGTCTGTATATTCCAACCTGGTGGGAAGTAAAATGGCACATGTAAACTCTTGGTAATAGATCACTGTTTGCCATGTGTTGTGTGTGTTGAGTGAAAGAGATGATATTCAAAGAGATTCATGCTAAAAGTTTCCTTGAACATATGCCACCAAGTGCAGAATCGTTTGGATTTAAGTCACTGACTGCTTAAATTTGAAAAAGATCACAAATGCGTATTGTTTATGAAGATCAGCATTTCACTGCCTTGTTGGTGCTGTATTAAGAACGGAGCTTCCAGTATTACTAACTTGATCTTTCTACATTCCCCAATTCCCACAGACCACAAACGCAATCCATGGAAAGTACCTTATTTTCCTGCGTCTAAGACTACTTTTTAACCTGCAAAATCTGTGGTTAAAGTGGGGGTCGTCTTATACGCCAGGTATAAGGATAAGGAGGATGGAGGTGCTAAAACTCTATAATTTGCCTGGGAAAATGGGGGGTCGTCTTATACGCCGGAAAATACGGTAGATCTATCCCTTCATCGTACCCTCTAAAATGATCAAGGCTTTAGTTTAAATGTGTATTTAATTTTAAAGCTGCACAGTCAATTCAGCAATGGTGAACAAATAAATACCTTCCATGTTGATCATCCTTATCTGTGTCCATGCCTTCACTAAAATCAGAACAAAAGGAAGATAATCATGCTAGAAATATAACAGCAAGTATTCTCTCTTACCTCACCCCGCTAAGCATAGAAATACGCTATACAAGTATATAGTTTGTATACAAACATTTAACAGCAAGTATATATAATTTAATACTGAAGATAGCATGCTCAGGAGAAGGGATGTTCTTCTTGCTCTCTTATCTCTCTTATTCGTAACATGTAAATACAACCTTAAACATTTTCTATCTATGTTTGTATTTGAGACAATATATATATATATATATATATATATATATATATATATATATATATATATATCTTTAGTTGATCCAATCACATGATGTTTAAAAGTTAAGAGCCTGTATCCATAAAACTATTCTATGTATGTGAAAAACTTGGGCACATTTGGTTGGATTTTAAGTTACTATTATTCTACCATAAAAAATACCAACTACTATGATTAATAAACATGGTTTAGAATATAAGCTTGCTAGCTATCATTCCCTGCGATGATGGCTATTAATTTCTCTAGTTCCAAAGAAATCTGGTAATGGATAGATGCTTGTGCAGAAAATACTCTGCTGTAAACATACTTCTTTTATGTCAATGTTCATGCACTGCTTTTATGAAACTCAGCACTTGCAAACAGAGAATTGTAGTATGGTCACGCATGCACTAATCCTATGCACTAATCTGTCAATGGTGCAGACAATTCAGAAATAATATTTACTGATATATAAATAGTTTTAAAAACTTTTTCTCCCTTTGTGCTATTTTTCGTCTAAGCAAAATTCCAGACATGCTAATTAAGCCAATGATATAAAAATTAAATTATAGTAAAATTGGATCTTAGAAACACCTTTACCCATTCCCTCTATGTGACATAATTATGGGATTAGAAATGACATAATATGATGGGGGGGGGGGG